CACATGGGACTTGGTTTATCCCAGAGGTATTGTGCAGTCTTTTGACATCAGGATTTGTGGACTGTCTTCACAGTAATGGTATCTGGCTTACGTCCTATGTCTTGTAATTCCACACCCACTGTCCCCTGGTCAGTTATACCTTGCTTGACTCAAAGGAGATTTTTGTTGTCCTAGGAGCAGTGTCTGTTACCTGCAGTGACTTGAACAATAGAGCCAAAGAGAGCAGCTGGAGTGATCTCTCTCTCAGGAACTTGGGGGACAAGTTGACCATTAGGGTAGGGACGTGACCCCCTTTGTACTGGGAACCCAAGCCATAGGCTGGGCCTCATTCAGCCCTGAAGAAGGTGAGGGCAGATACCTGCCTCCCTGTGTGTGGAGGTCTTGGGAAAGCAAGCATCAATCACATCAGTAGTGAATCTGCTGGAAGGTGGGTTTGCTTCAGGAAATGGGGGTGTGAGCTCCACTTAAGATATCTTGGATGTCTTCATCAACAGGCATTCTTTCCGTTTTGTACATACAGAGCTAAAACACTTGGCCATTTTAGCATTCTTCACATGAATAGTCCAAGTGGCACGAACCAGTCGGTCACATTGTGCAACCATCATCAGTGCCAGTTGTCGAATTTCCATCACCGGCAACAGAAGCTCCTCACTTCTGAGCATGGCCTCCCCTCCCCTCCCACACGTGGTTGGTGACCGCGGTTGATCTTGGGTCTCCATACACTTAAGTTTTCTCCACATTTCACATTCATGGCATCGTAAGTTTGTCCTGTTGGTTCTGACTTCACTCAGCAGATGGTCCATGAACCAAGTCTTCAGTTCTCACTGGCTGAGCAATATCCATGTGTCAGTAATGATTCCTACCGTTGGTTTTGTTAGGGACCCTCACAGATGTCCCTTCTCACCTGTGTCCTTAGACCCAGGAAGTGGCCAGGTGCCTGTTGTGGTTCCTAAGTCCTTTTTACCTAGTGACTAAGAATTTGCATATTTATAGTGACCCTGAGCCTTGTCAATGGAAATGAAATAAAGGTTTTGTAACCAGATGTGGGTTAAGACGCAATGTGCTGACTCATAGAACATTCCAGAACATTTCCTCCAACCTCCTTGAAGCAGACACCATCTCTGTTACTCTCATTTCTCCTTCATTTTCTGTGCACTCTGCACACACTGCAGTGGCCTGGAGAGTGTTTTCTGAAGGAACAGGTTGGCATTGTCCAGGCGTGGCTGAGGAGGGTGTGGGAAGGGTCTGACCATGCAGGCTGGAAGGCAGGGTTGCTGCTGAGTTAGTGCGAAGCGATTTCTACAGACTAAAGACAAACCACATTAATGCTGTCTGTTCAGGGTGGTGTCTGCATTTCCTAATAATACAGCCCTGTTCTTGGGCACTGCCCTCCAAAAAGAGAAGCCCAGTCCTGCCTCTCTGTGCAGGTTACTGGGGCATTTTGTGGGAACCAGCTCTCTGGGCCACTGTGGCAGCTGTGTTCAGAGTTGGGGTTACAGCATAGGCAGTGAGGACGGGGAAGGGGGGAGGACGGGGTCCCAGGGCTAACCTGGGGCTCACAAGCCAATGTTATCAGGCCCCTTCTTGGGGGGATGACATGCTGGTCCCCAGGAAGCGAGCTTGACACACCCGTATGGCAGCCGGCCCAGTATGATGTTCGGCCCAGTGTGATGTTCGTTTAGTCCTTAGTTCTAATGTGAGTGCAGGGCACTGGCTTTGCGACATGTGGCGTCCTTGCTTCCCTGTTACCACACAGGAGGGCCCCGCCCACCGCTGCCCTGCGCTGTGTCCACCTCCTCTGGGAGGGAGGCATCTTATCGCTCTGTCCTCTCCCCTCCCCCACGCGCAAGTGGGAGCTCCATAGAGGACTGTTTAAGGCCAGCAAGCCTTGTGCTTGCGTGTGTGAACCGAGCAGATTGGGGGGTGCTGGGCTCAGCCAGCACTAAAGGCTTTGGCCTTCTCTGCATTTGATCAGGGAAGGTGAAGCGGTCCCCTGGGCCTCACAGACCGCCAGAGGGGGGTCTAGCTCAATCATGACCATTTGTGATGGAGTTGACCTTGGACAGCCTCAAACCCCTCTGAGCTTTGGGTCTCAGTTTCCCTTTTTGTGAGCCGGTTCCTGAGAGCACTGAGCTACACTGGTGGGCTTGATTAAGAGTGAAGAAGTTAAGCTCCCGTCATCCTCAGCACAGCAGCTGGCATGCAGGAGCACGGAGTACGTGCCCGCGAGGCTGCCCTGCTGGAGATCAGAACAAGGTATGTCTCTCTACAAGCTCTCAAAGCCTTGGGGCTAGAGGAACATTCTAGGACTAACATAGCTCACAGTCTGCTTCCCTGGTTATGGGGTACACCCTCTCCCCTTTGGGAAGGTGGGATATCACCTCCCTTGAGAACTGGGTATATCCCTCCTGCCGCTAATTAACCTAGGGGAGTCTCCCTGAAGTTTATCCAAGGGACACACACTGAGTTTAATTTTTGTTAATTTGAGGGTGTCCAGCCAGCTCCTCCACACAGCAGGGACTGGGATGGGGGGCGAGGGGCAAACACCCAGGGAGTGGGCTCCCTGGACACCTGTGTGTTAGCAGACTCCCTCTCCAGTATCATGTCCTCGCTCTCCTGTTGGGGGCCAGAGGACTCAGTGGGCCCAAACACTAAATACGGCCTGGGGGCCATACTAAGTGGGCACTGCTGGGCTGGTGCAGCTTCCTTCCCAGGGTGACCAGCCGTGGAGAGGCCCAGCCTGATGGGCTTTCTCCTGCCACCAGCACTGGGTGAGGAACTTAGCACGGCCCTTCACACGAACGGCTGTGAGAGCCAGGTCACCAGGCTTGGACCCCTGCATTTTATGGCAAAGTCTGAAAATGCAGATTTGTAACCACCAATGTTAATGAATTCAGACTGTTTGAATTTCACACTGAATAATGGCTGGAATTATCAGAGCCGGCGGCTTCTGAGGTGCCAGGATCGGGTAATCTTTTCTCAAGATTAAATTGATGGAATGATGTAATATCACATTACTTTTATTAACGGTCCTGGCCGTAAAAGAAACACACCGATTAGAATAGGAAAATTGAGTAAAAATAGTAGTAATAACCAGGCAATTTGGAATAGGTAATATATTCTGGAAATTTCCAAATGCGGCATCTCATTGAAAATGCAATGTTGTGCCCTGAGATATTGAATGCAGTACCTTTGTCCCCTAGGGCTTCCTCCTTCTACATTAAAAATATTCTATTTAAATGCAGATTTTGATTTGCAATCTAGGAAGAGAACCCTGCAAAGGGGAGGGGGGGACACCCTGGCATCTATTAGTTCGGGCTTCATATGTCATTTAGAGCTTATGCCCCCATCTCTCCCTCATGCCCGCCTCCCCAAAAGGCTAATTTCTGAAAATCTAAGTAAAGAAATGCTTCATTTCAAAGGTTAACACTTCACTCTTATCTGACCACCCTTCGCCATCGTCAAGTTCAGAAACACAAAAGCCCCTCCCCACCCCCAATTCTTCATGTGACGGAAGCTTGCGTGTCATTCTTTGAAAGAGTTCATTGTCAGAGGCAGAGTGGACACATCTAGCACCTTGTTAGTCTTTACACACATTTGTGCCGTTTAAACGCTTCCTTTAAGATGGGTTTCTGTGCGGGTGTGTGTGTGTGGAGGTTACCTCCCTGGTCTTCCCTTTAACCCCCCCTCCCCCCCGGGCATCCCTAGAAAGCCACAGGGCGCCAGAGCTCAGGAGGCATCAGGACCTGCCCTCACTGAGTAGAAGTGCCTTGTTTGATGTCGAGCTGAGATTACCAAGGAAATAGATTCCTAGCTTTTGACATTCTGCTCTTGGAATCAATTAGGTGGTTAATCATTGTAAATACCGCTTTCTTTGGCTGTTGTCTCCATTTAATAGAGCACCTCCTGCTATATGCACTTGTCAGCTTCAAGCCGAGCCCCGCGTCTGGGCTTTTATGATCTGTCAAGGGAAATTGGAAGTAAATTCTTTATAATATGCTAATTGATCTATTTGGGAATTTTTAGATGTAGACAACATCTGTGCTTGACAGGCACGCAGTCACCAGCTTCCAGTCTCCAAAGATGGTGGGTTTGCAGACTCTGTGTGACCCGGTCGAGACCTTTTCTGTCCTCCTGGGAGCTGGCAGTGTGGAGCTGGGGGACCTTTCCTGGTGCCTCAGGCTCCTAGCTTGAGGGACCCTCTGATCAGAAGGCTGGGCTTGTGTTGGTTGGGAGAAAAGCCAGCGTAAACACCCTGGTCTTGTGGCTTCCAGCCGGCTGCAGCCTCGTCCAGACAGCTGGAGAGAAGATTGGCGAGCACCCTGGGCGAGTGGTACTCAGGACCCTCTGCCCTTGGTGGTTCACAAGCCGCATTTCCTGTTCCCTGGGCACCTGTGGTGACTTGAGCATAGAAACCTGGGACTGTTAACTTGTGTGGGAGCTTTAGGCTTTTCCCACAGAAGATGAGGAGTTGTGACCTCCTTGTTGCTGTCATTAGATACCATCATGTCGACACGGATTCATAGCCAAGTACAATGGATCGAAACCTTGCCAGATTCTATGGGTTTGAATAGAGGCTGCTAACAGGTTAAAAAAAAAAACCAAACAACAAAAAAACAACAACTGTCAAACCAAATGCATGAGTGTCAAGTCAAAACTGACTCCTATCTGACCCTCCAGTACGTTTTCCCAGGCTGTAAGTCACCTCAGAGAAGCTGGTGGCTTTGAGCCTCTGGGGAGACACTGCCTTTGGGTTAGGTCAGCTTCATACTGACCATGGCACCAAAGCTTCCTGACCAGAAGGCGGGTATTTCAAACCCCTCAGCTTCTCCATGGGGAATAAGATGAGACTGTCTTGTCCTGTCAAGATTTACAGCATCAGAAACCCAATGGAGAGAAACCAGGAGTTGGAACTGATTCTGCAGCTGTGGGTTGGGGTGTTGTTTGAGTCACAGTAAGTAAAGCAGTCCAAGATGGAATGTCCATTGATAAACCCTCACTCTTCGCCGTCTCGTTCGTTCTCGGCCACCTGGGCAGTGTGCGTGGTCATAGTCTTCGCTGCCACCCGGGTGAGGACTAAGCCAGGCATTGCGGGGCGATCTTCTGCAGGCCCACTGCCTCCTTGCAGAGGGAGTGCCCTGGGGGGACAAGGGCAGCAGAGCTTTCCAAGCTAAGTCTAGGGGAAAAGGCTTCATGACCTACTTCTGAAAAACCAGCCAACTCAGATTCTGTGCGTCAGAACAGAATGCCGTCTGGTACAAGGCTTAAGAGGGACCTCGTAGCCGGAAGGCATTCAGAGGACACAGCAGCCCTGTAACTGTGATGGTCGCACGAGGCCTGGCCGGGTCTCATTATCTCGTGTAGTGTGATTGTACCGTGATTCGGCGCCGGTTACATGGCCACTGCCCAGGTAGATGTGCTGGCTGCTTCTTGAGGTTGGTTGGTCTTGAGAATCTTGAGAAGCACGGTCTTGCCATCCTTGGCACAGAACTGTGGTCTTGGACAAAGAAACAGTCGTGCATCTTCACTGTTGGTGGAGATATTTCTGGGAATAATTAAACGGTGACCCTTCTTCATCTTTTTTTGCCCGAGTTGCTGAGGAAGAGCAGTTTAATTTGAGACTAGGAAATTTTGTAATTGGATTTAGAGGACTAACGCCAGCCGACCTGATTCACACGTTGACAGTAGTGGGCGCGCCGACATGAATACTGGTAGCAAACCCGTAATCTGGAGTCAGCAGGTTCGTACACTACTATTTCATTAAATTTTCAGGCAAAAGCTGCAAAAATTAATTGGAGGCGTGTAATAGTTTAGAATGTAAGCCGGCTTACGGTAATAAAATTATATGAAGAGGAGACAGTTTTATATACTGAGAGAGGAAAGGCTGGTTTACTTTAATGAGACGAGATAGAAACGGAGAGGTCTTTTTTCATTACAGATGCAGTCTAAAGTGTTTGGACTAAGTTGATGAATAGAGTTAATTCGCTGCTACAGTTCCAATAATTCATGTTGCACAGTTTAATGACTTCTAGATAAAAACGGGATTGAAATGTTAATTTCTCTGAAGAAATTGGGGCACTCTTGTATATCAGGCCCCCCCTCCCCTCCCTTAAGCCAGTGGTTAATTTCACCACGCAAGTCTGGGGGGATATTTCACAGTGTGTAGACTTTTGCCTTTCTTACTGAGTTTGGCTTTATTTCTTTATAAACCCGATGTGGGTGATGGTGGTAAGATGGGAGACTGCCAGGGAGAATTTACTGTCGTCGGACAACATGGTTCAGTAGAGAATTTCCTGACAGCTTTATCCACAGCCGGAACCTGTTCTGGCTGATGACCATGTGGTTGATTTTGTTTGTATCTGGCTAGTTCAGCCTCTTTCCTGGCCGAGCTGATCTCTAGGTTTTCCAGCTGAGGAATTAGAAGGATCATTCCGTTAGCATTCTATTTCTGAGACTTTGACCTTACACAGGACAAGAATTGAAGTGTCACCATTGTTATCATGAGCCATAGAGTCGAAACTAACCCATGGCTGACCCTCCGGCGGAGGATGTTCAGAGAGTGCCCGCCTTCTCCTGTGGAGCAGCTGGTGGATTTGAACTTAGTGCCTTTGGAATTGCAGCGCAGCTTCTTGCCACTAGGCCACCAGAGCGCCGTTATGCCTTTTTTGTCCTTTTTGTCTGCCCGTATCAGACACCTTCATAGGACAGGTTCAGTTGAGTGCCATGTCTTCCCTTTCTCATTAACTTAATTCGAGGAAAAAGATTAGAAAGGAGTAAGACCAAAACGTTAACTAATAGAAGTGTTACAGAATCGGGGAACGGGATGAAGTGGGGGTGGGGCTGCTGACCCCCCAGCTGCCAGGGGACAGTGAGGCTTAATGGTCCCCTCAAGAGTTACAGCCTAAGATGGGGAGAAGGCGCTGGGAATCAGAAGCAGTGGCAGTGCGTGTGGTGGTTACAGAATCCATCTGCCCAAGGTCAGTGGTTCGAGCCCACTGACCATTCCAAGAGACTGCCTAGCAGGAAGTCTGCTTCTGCAAGGATCCCAGGCCGGTCCGCTCTGCCCTGTGGATCTCAGAATTGACGCCATGGCAGTGGGGTGGCTTGGATTAGGCTTGGGGAATTTCTTATTTATTCCCAGACTTTTGGTGATTATGATGGTTTTGCTATCTTAATTTTATTTTGGGGAGGCCCGATAATCTGGAATCCCCGGGGTTTAGTACACAAACCTGGAAGCGTCACTGGAGGTGGCAAACTCCAACTCCTGCCCTGGTTCTGCCGCCTTGCTTTTGGATGAGGTGTTCAAAGGGCTTCCTAGAAACCTGTTAGGAGGGAGGAGTGGCGAAGATTGGGAAACTCTGGCTCTGGGCTCTGGGGCCGCAGAACCCCAGGTACTGACCGTTTGGCCCAGGCTCCAGAGCAGGCTCGTGAAGAGTTGGGAGGAGGCGTCTGTGCAACAGAAACTGTCCACCACCTTGGCCAGCCCTTCCTGGTCACACTGGCCATGAGCACAGCTCACCTGTGTAAGCAGACAGCTCAGCAGGACCGTCCAAATGTGAATGGAGGGCTGATGGGAAAGGGTTTCTTTTGAATTTGCTTCCTGGAGGTCCAGGGTCTTGGGAGTCTCCTGCTTCAAGCATGTGACACCCGTTGGGTTGTTGTATTCGATGGCGGCCTCCTGTGACCCATGGTGAGGCGAGGATGTGAAGACACGTCCCAAAGATGCTGTCCATCTCTGGAAGGAGAGCGCCTGACCCAACCTGTTCCCCTTGTTTCTCCTGGGTCACAGGAAGACCACGTTGACCACCTGGCTCCAGCCCTGGGCCTGCTCTGGATGGATTGGTGTGTAGGGCCTTGGCCTTTGCATTTGACTGTCTAGGACCCGAGCTCACACCCTTTGCCTTTGCTATTAGTGACCCTTTTAAATGACAGAAACTCTTAACATGATAGAATGACATAATGGCCACTGCAGTGGACATTGGTCAGGGTCTGGAAGATGGTGCCAGACCCAGGGCCCTTCTGTTAAGAGTTGGCCATGGGTCAACGCAACAGCACCCCACAATATTGGAGAAAAAGAAGTGAAGTCAGCCCAGCTCTTCGCGTATCTCATCCTTTGGAACTTCACAGGCTTTGTCTCCAAAAGGTGGGGCCTCCCCCCAGCGCTGTTGACCTCTTGAGGGTGGAATCTGTAAGGAGTTCAGAGTCCAACTCAAAGGTCAGGTGGTTATCTACCAGCAGTCTCCTCCCATGTGATTTACAGCCTTGAAAACCAGTGGGAGGCCAGCTGAGAGCATTCAGATTGTTGGGATGAGCCTGAGTTTTTTAATTAGATTGGTGGGTCGGTGGTAGACTTCTCACCTTCATGCTGGGGAAAGGCCTGGTCGTCTACCCTGAACTCTGCCCCGGTCAACCTTGCAGGTAAGTGGTGCAAGGGGAAAGCACAGGGCTGAACAGGGCTTCACCACCTTGTCATGGGGTCACCAGGGTCTGGGGTGCTATCAGACCTCTAGCAGCATCCCTGGCCTCGCCCAGTTGGATGCCCACACCTAACAGCCAAAAAACGCACTGCCTCCCCACCCCCGAATCCCCTGCCACCCCGTCTGTGACAACATCCAGACATGGTCCCATGTCCTCTGGGAACCAGAGGGCCCTGCTTGAGAACCAGCAGGTGAAGGGTGGATGTTTACTCCCCATCTGAACCCGTCGTGCTTGCACTATATGACTAGGAGGCCATCTAGGGCCCCACCCAGGGGCCAGTCCTGTGTAGAGCAGCCCACAGGGCCTCCAGTCACAGGTCCGTACCTGCTGGGCTGCCTTTTGGACCATCTTGTAAGCGAGCGAGGCAGCTTCGGGAGCTGAGACTTTGAGGGGAGCCTGCTATTGGCTGTATCCCGCTCACAGAGCTGTTCATGACAGTGCATTTGACAGACAGATTTATTTGTCACCTTGTCACAGTGACATGTTGAGATTGCTTCACTGCTCATGTGCCATTGACACTTGACTGTCTGAGATGGGGACAAAGCACCCTTCGAAGGAGCTGGAATGTGTCTTATCAGCACAAGGCATAACTTACTGCCTGCTTCCCTGTTCCTTTAACTTTTAATTGAAACCATTTAGTTACCACCCCTGCTGCTAGGAGTCTGGGGACAATTAGGAAAGCCCCATCTGTCCTTTGAACCACAGTATATTGCTCCTCCCCTCCCCCTGCTATCTTGAGAAGATGAAGAATTTTAAGTCTCATCTCTGCCTCATTGTCTTGTGGTGGGTATCACTTGAATGAGTTATGACAACTCTTTAATTCAATTATTTACTCAAATGCAGACTTTGAGATGATTGAGTGAGATCGGGCGTCTGAGTGTTTTCACTGTCAGGCAGGGACCCCCAAGGAGGTTGTATAGGTGGGGTTTTTTCCCAGTTTCACTTGGGGTCCATGTCTGGACTGTCTCCACAACCCCCCAGCTTCATGGCGCCAGCCCCCACAAACATAGATTGGAAATGGCACATGCCGAGGGCTTCGCCATCCTTTCCCCAGGGCAAGGAATTATCTGTCCAGTAATATTAGGTCAGCGGATTCCTGCCCGGCTGGGCCTGGAAGGAGGGGGAGGGGCGGGCAGTGCAAGTGGGGGGGCGGCGGGAAAGGCAGTTTCTAAATCTGTAAATGTGGTAAACAGTCTCTGTTCCTGCTTTGGTGTTTGACTTTGAATTAAACAAAGCAACGTGAGTAGGAGGCGTAGAGTATGGTTATTTCAGCCAATTTGTTCTCTAATGTGGAAAATCTACCTAAAATAGGAGCCTGACAGTCCTGTGTGTGTAGACAGGATTGCGGGTGTTGAGAGGCTTCGCCCAAGTAGTGGAAGGACTGAGGAGGACACTCCTGGCGAAAATTCTGTTGTTAAGCTTGCCTTCTGGCTGTCACTGGAACCCAGCGTTCCCGTGAGGGGGGCAGCATTTCTGTGGGAGGCCCCACCCTCAGACAGCAGGACTTGGTTTTCTGAAACATCGGGGTGCCCTTTACCAGGGTGTTCACGGTTCCTCAAGGGTAAGGATCTGACCTGGGAACAGAGTTTTGTGGAGACATGAGTCTCTGGACACTTGAAGGTGAGGGATGCAAAAAAAGAAAAGCAGAGGTGCAGATAGCCCAGAGCTTGGGGTCCAGGGGTCAGTGCATGGGGACGTGTGTGCAGTGCTGCAGCATGACCCAGGCATGGTGGGTCCCAGGGGAGCTGCTACCTGTCACACTATGTGAGCGTCTCGCCGTGTGAAGGTGAATCTTTCCAACCATCCTCACTCCTGACCACCAGCCAGGCCCTGCAGCTGTCCCTTCATGGAGAAAATGGCTGCCTCTCCTAGTGTGGGCAGTGGGGGTGCTGCCTCTATCTGCACCCCCAGGCTTCCCAAGTTTGCCTGACTTGCTCCTTCAGACCTAAACCTAGTAAGTGGACTTCTGCCCCGCCTTACGCATGCACAGATGTGTTTACACGGGCACGCACACTCTCTTGTCCACCCATCTTACCCCCATGTGTCACCCTATCCTTTTATCTATCCCAGTCTTGACGTGGGAGCAAGAGAAAGGTGGGTAAAAACAATCCTAACCCAGTGTGTCAGCTGGCGAGGATGGCACAAGATAGCACAGGTTTATAGTCACAATGAATTGTGCTTGACTTGATGGCACCAACCAACAGTAACAATCTTGGTGGCAGAAATCAGCTCAGATCTTCAACAGACAGACATGGAAATAGTGAAGCCAGCCTGAGACCATGTATGACCGAGTTTGCTGTCCACACAGCCCCATTTATCCATTTTTTGATAAACAAAGCTTTACCCCAGGTTTTTCACCATGGTGTCATTTAATGGTAAAAAGCCTCCCAAGAGTCCTGGTGCAAAGAGTCCTGGTGATGTAGTGCTTAATGTATCAGACTACAAACCAAAAAGGTTGATGGTTTGAGTCCACCTTCCGCCTTCTGTGAGCATTGGGCAGTCTCTTCCTGTGATTCGCAGGCGTTTTGAAGGTTGCCCTGGGTTGGAATAGATGCAGTGATGGGTTAAGCATCTATTGGTGGGGACGTTGGGAATTCTTCTTAAAATGATACTTTCAAAATTTGAAGTAATATTTGTGTTTGAAAGCATAGGGATTTAAAATTGATTTCTCAAAGTGTAGATACTAGTCTTCCGAAGTTTCGCTTCCGCAGTTTTGGGAGTCCAGCCATTACAGAGTACGGGGAGATGGAGAGATGGTTGTTTCTTAGCGGTGGTCTTCCATTTGTGGAATTTGGGGTGATTATTCCCATAGAATGTTCTGTATGAATGATGTTCTTTTCATAATGAGAAGGACATTTGCTGGCCATCCTGACCTCATGTTGGTTGAGAAGGTGAGGCAGGCACTGCAGAGCTGACTGGCCCCCTGGAGCGGGAGCCTGGTGACTCAGGGTGTCAGCTGAATGGGCAGCTCTGAGAGGCTGTCAGCTGAATGGGCGGCTCTGAGAGGCTGTTCGAATCCACGAGCTGCGGTGCTGGAGCTGGGCGAGCCGTGTGCTTCTGTAGAGATGGACAACCTTGGCAAACCCATGGGCAGTTCTGCCTTGTCCCGCAGCACCACTTGGCTGAAATCGACGCCACAGAAGTGGGGGTGTTGGTCCTCAAGGTGGGGGTGTGATGGTAGTCATGTTGGTTTTCAGAGGAGAGCCTTGCTGTCTGTACCCCACTTGATCCGGTACATTGTGCACACAGATTCGTCTCTGCAAAGATCTGCTGTTTCCCCCTTAGTCTTTGGGCTGGAATGTTATGGAGTCTGGATGCCTGCTCTGTTTCTAGTTTGTGGGTTCTCCAGCCGGCTGTTGTGAGAGGATGCATCCAGCTTAGCCCCCCGACTCCTTGGCATTGCTGTCGTTTGGTGCTGTGTGCCTTGGGGCTGATGCCTGAGGCTCTCCGTGCCTCCATTGTCCTCCTTAAAAGTAGGGTTGGGGTTGGGGGTGGGATTGGGGGGAGGTGCGGGGTTGGGGGATTGTGTACCAATGAGGGAGTTTTTCTTTTGCTTTTCAAGGAGAGGAGCAAAAGGGAGGGGCGGGGAGAAGGATGCAGCAATGAATGAATGGAATTCCAAAATCTCTGTAGATGTTCATTGAAATGAAAAATAAATAAATTAAAATATTTTTTTTAAAAAAAGTATGGTTGGTAAAAATGCGTGCCCCATGGACTTGCAGAGTGCTTTTAAGTGACATGGGCCAGAGTCTGGAGATCGAGAGAGGCGACTGGAGATGGTGGTTCTCCCCACTTGCTCATTCCCTCTGGATGAACGTCCATCCTTGTAACTACCTCTGAGCGT